CTATAGTAATAAGAATGGTCTCAGGTTCTTAGGTATTCAACATATGTATTGGGAATGAATGCCTAAGTGAATGAAGACACCTCGGGTCATCTTGTCACAGTTGTTCCAGGGATAATGCCAGAGAGAAAAATATTTTATGCTTATGATCCATTTTTTTAAATAGCGATTCTTTTAAAAAAGAGAAGACAATATCTGACATCAAAGAGCAAGAAAAACAAGAACACAAATACTTTGGAAAGTTACAGCCTCTACAGAACAAAATAAGCAGTCGATCTAGTAAATTCTGTTTTCTTTTATAAACTCAACGTATTCATAAATGAAATAATTGCCTATAGAAAAAGATTTTCAATTGAAATTTTGTTTTTTCCCCCAAACATTAACTTTTTTTAAAGATTTTATTTATTTATTCATAAGAGACAGACAGAGAGAGAGAGAGAGAGAGTGGCAGAGGGAGAAGCAGGCTCCCCGCTGAGCAGGGAGCCCGATGCGGAACTCAATCCCAGGACCCTGGGATCATGACCTGAGCTGAAGGCAGATGCTTAACCATCTGAGCCACCCAGGCGCACCCCCAAACATTAACTTTTTTTTTTTAAGATTTTATTTATTTATTTGACACAGAGAGAGACAGTGAGAGAGGGAACACAAGCAGGGGGAATGGGAGAGGAAGAAGCAGACTTCCCCCTGAACAGGGAGCCCGATGTGGGACTCGATCCCAGGACCCTGGGATCATGACCTGAGCCGAAGGCAGACGCTTAACGACTGAGCCACCCAGGGGCCCCAAACATTAACTTTTAAACTGCATATGTGGGACTTAAATTAGTGGAAGAAATTTCAGCAGAGAGATCCATATTTTAACACCCTATGACTCAGAATATGCAGTGGGAGAATATAAACAGAAAGAACCACATCGTTTCTATTGTATTTGCCATCAAAGCCTCAACAACTGTCCACGGTGAATTGGCAATAACTCACTAGCCAGTGGACCGGAGAAATTAATGCCACAATAAGGGATCTTTCTGTTGATCCTTGTGGACAAATACATGAGTCTCTCATTCTTGAAACAGGACACAAAATAATGAGATAAATTTTGTAACAGTATAAGACCACTAATAGTTCACCAATGACTTCATTAGTAGAGATGAACCACAGCTTTGCAGGAAAAATATGTCCTGAATCTTTTCAGACACCATTATACATAATTAAATAAAATAGAAAAAGAGATTGAGGGGGGTGGGAGGGATGGGGTGGCTGGGTGATGGACATTGGGGAGGGTATGTGCTATGGTGAGCACTGTGAATTGCATAAGATTGATGAATCACAGACCTGTACCCCTGAAACAAATAATACATTATATGTTAAATAAATAAATAAATAAATAAACAAAAAAGAAAAAGATTGAAAAAGAATATGATGTGATCTACATTGCCCTTCCTCTCCCTCCTCCTTTCCTGCATCACTCTGCCACACACTCCCCACCTCCTCCTCCTCTAAGTAAGCTGATGACAATTCTCTTAAAATCCATTCCACAACTTCCTTCAAAGGGAAGGAATCCTTCTTGCCTCTGATCTACAACTCACCAATAAACATATTCATAAATAAATGCAAACCCTGGACACACTGGCTTTTAGAACAATATTCTACAATGACTTTCACTCATACCTTTTGCCTGTTCTAATCTTCCACTTTCCTCTTTGCAATTTCTCTCTCTCTCTCTCTCTCTCTCACTCTGACTGAAAGATCTACCTGTCTTCACCATGGTTATTTGTTCCCTACTAATTCATCTGCAAAGATCAACTTATAATCTTATTTATCAGCATTTTTTAAACATTTGCTGCGTGCCAAGTGATGGGGTTGGGAGAAGGATAACTTTTCATTTCCCCTAGAGATGCCTCTCATCTAGTTTTCACACTAATCCTTTTAGGTAGATTCTATAATTATCCCCATTTTACTGATGAGGAAACTGAGGCTCAGAGAGGCTAAGGATCTTGTCAATGGTCCCTTGGGGTCAAGACCCATGTAAGTCTAAGCTCCAGTTCTTAATAGTACTACATTGCCTTTCATGGCAATTTAATTCAGCCAACGCGGAACGTGTATATAAAAATATATGTACCTGTACAAACTCTAAAAATATTACTTAAGTAGAGGCACCTGGGTGGCTCAGTCGGTTAAGCATCTGCCTTCAGCTCAGGTCATGATCCCAGGCTCCTGGGATGGAGCCCCACGTCAGGCTCTCTGCTCAGCGGGGAGCCTGCCTCTCCCTCTCCCTCTGCCCTCCTCCCTGCTTGTGCTCTCTCTCTCTCTCTCTCTCAAATAAATAAATGAAATCTTTTTAAAAATTTTTAAAAAAATATTACTTAAGTAGTAAAAGAGATCTGGCTCTACCACCAATAGTGTGTGAGTATATATATTCAGTATTCCCTTTACTGATCTAATATTGATAGACAGTTCAGCAGCTACCTCTCATCAGCAGTTACAGATTTGCTTTTTAACTGATCAGATGCTAGAACAACAGAAAAAATCTATGTGCTTTACTAAGGTAGAAGAGGAAAAGACATACAAATTGAATAGCTAGATCAGAGGTCCTCTTAGCGAGAGAAGAACTTTGGTTGCTGTCCTTTAGGCAAAGGACAGGCTGCTGAGAACATGGGAACAATGCACCTAACAGGGAAGTCAAGAGGCTCTGGGAAAGAAAGAGAGAAATTTGGATTTGTTCATAAGAGAAAGTGGGATTGGGCCGGAAGAATGTGGGCAAAGGAGGACCAACATACTGAGAGAGGCTGGGTTGTTCTGTGGAATGGGGGAGCCAGGGCAATGTCCCCCACACAGTGTTTAAGTGTGCGGTCTGGTGCGTGACATCCTTTCTTGCCTTGTCCTTCAGATCATCAGCACAAGTTTTGCTGCTGTGATCATCTTGAGTTCGTGGTTGCTTGGAGGGCAGATGGGTGGTAGGATGGGGCCAAGGAGAAGAGACTTTGTCCCCTCTTTCCGTGGACACCAGAATGGTGATAAAGGAATGGCCACAGGGAACAGAGAAAATACTTTCAGTGAAAGTAGAAAACAGAGCAGTGGTGATCCCAAACTTATAATCCCTCAGAGAAATACCGGGGAGAGCCTTGGGGGTTTACCAGAATGGGGGTTTGAATCAACTTATCCTGATCTGAAAGAGCTGGGGAGCCCTAGGGGACATGTTGATTACACTACAGAAATTCAACAATCTAGCTTTTTTGGGTAAAGAACAATGTTATGTTTGCTAGAACCAGGGAACAGACAATGACACAGCCACTTCTTAAAAGTAACTGAACGTATTGGCATGTGCAGTCAACTGATTTGCTGACTTAAAAACAGTCTGATGACATTTTTTTGCCTGTTAAACCTATTATTGCCCATAATGAAAGACTCTATATGCACTAATCACAACCTGCAGCCTTCTGTTTGATCACAGTTTTTAAAACTTCATGATACAGGGGTTTTTAGTTATACTCAACACATTTTCCTTCAGACATCTGATTGGTTGCTCTAGGTGCCGTGAATGATATAAATTGAGCTCTTAGTTGGAAGAAATCTAAAGGATCAAGCATCCCTGAGTTTCAGACAGAAACTTCCTTTGAATACGCATACTCAAAGGTATGTGGATTTTATTCATTTGGTATCCTTTCTATTGTGCTTATTTCTTTTTCTGCATTTCATGTACAAAAGATGCAAATGTATTCCGCATTTCTAATACTTTATGCTGTCATACATATTCGGTTACTTCTTCAGTTGGACCGTAATTAAATTAGACTCTGATTACTTAGATGAATTATTTTACTTCCTAATGCAGCAAAGTGTTTGTCTGTATTTTTAAAAATTTTACTTCCAGAATCCCAAAGCACTTTTCAGGGCCAAATCTCACAGCAAAATATGTATTTTAATTACTTATCAATTAAGATAAAAGCGATTTTTTTCCCACAGGCTGTCATCTACTACTTTAAAAGCCATTTTGTTTAATTACATCAAATAGAGCCATTAACTAAATGTGGTGTTTTCTCATTAATTCAAACTTCAACAGATTTAGGAGGCAGAAAACATCGGTGCACTTTTTATAGCCAGCATTATTACACACGGTACTCACTTTCTCTGCAAAATTTAATATCCTTCTGACAGCTTTCATAGTCAACAATTCGTACCACAAAGCAATGTGCATATTTTAGGATGGCCTGTTTTGCTTCATGTCCCAAGGGTCATAAAGTGTATAATTACGGTGCCGGGCCAAACAAAAAGGAAGATGTCATTGACTAAATATGGAAAATTTCAAGGAGCAGTCATTCACAATTCACGGAATAATCACAAAGTATTAGCACTGTCCTCTCCCTTCCATTCAACTGCACCTGTTCCTCCACATCTGGAGCTCAGAGATGTCTGCTGGAAGTCCTACCAGTCGAAACACCTGGAACTTCCCTCCACTCCTTCCTTACTCTATTTTGGTAGATTATTTTCATATCTTTTCTCAGATGATTCGTCTTTGTTTTTAACAGTAGCAATGCTCAGGTGGACTGTACAAAAAAAAAAAAAACCACACAACAATTTTTGTGCCCTCCTGGTTCTAAAAGTATCAAATACTGTGCACCCTGAAGACCTGCGCAGCTTTTAGAGCCAACTCCGTTCTTGTGATCCTTAATTATAAGCTACATCTAGCTTCTAGGACTCCCCAGGCTGCACAGGTATAGGAAAATAGCACACCAAATCGCGTAATGAGAGATTCACATCGCTACACTTTGTTCTGCTCTCAGCCGAAATGAAAAGCAACCTACCTTATCACCATCAGGAGTCCAAAAGCAGTGAAATGAGCTCAGAACTGGAAATCACATGTGAATGAAGTAACCTCACAAAAGTGGTCCCATCCTTTTTACTGGCAACAGGCTAATATGGATTGGTGGATTTTATGGAGCATTAATTATGTCCATATTTGCAAAAAGGTTTTTTTTAAAAAGTGTCAACTTCTATTTCAGGGCCATCAAGACATGGGGACCTGGATTTTGTTTGCCTGCCTCTTGGGAGCAGCCTTTGCTATGCCCGTGAGTAAAACACCCCTGCAAATGTCAATATCCAATTTCACAAGCTCGGAAATAAAGATCTGCCCCACAGCTGATAAACTTTAGGGTTTAAGGCAGTACAAGATCAGATGTCCTCAAATGTCTCTGTGTTTAAGAAACACTTGGAAGAGCTTGTTATATGTATAAAAAAAAAAATATCCTCAGATGCCTCCACCCCAGACTCGGATTCAGAACAGCCAGAGTGGGGCTAGTGCCCAGGACTCTGCATTGTAACAAGGAGATTCTGTGGAAACAATTAGCTCGTAAATATCATCGCCCATCTCTAGATGGAGGAAACTTTTGGGAGGGACCCTCGAAAGGCCTCCAGAGAAAGTGCTCAACCAGCCTTAGGCAAATACTACAAAAATGCCAGTTTTCTCGAAAACCTAATTTCTCACGAGTGTCCAACTCTCTTCCTGCCCTACAAACTCTACTGCCTGTTATCCTTCAGAGGGTAAGGTTTCTATGTTAGGAATTTCCTTCTTGAACCATCTCCTGTTGTCAGAGGCCGCATCCCTTTGGGTGCACCTGCTAATAAGCACATGGGTGCTTCCGTGTGGTTGTCCAGAATCCTATCTATGCCCAATGCGTGTGGATATTTTGTACATTTAAATGTACCAAGGACCAGGAAGTCTGACCCATTCTCTTTAGACACAGGTCACATAAGGTCAGAGAGCTTAGATCCCACGCAGGCAAAGCAGGACGTAGCCGCTTTTCGGTGGCATAGAGAGCAGTTGATAGAACCAGAAGCCAGCAAAGCTTGTATATCTGCCTCCTCTCTTCCTCTCTCGTCCACAAGACCAAGATTCTGTGCTCTGCCTTCCTGAAATCCTGCACTGTGGCAACTTCTAGTCCCCCAAGGGGCCTCTGCATTACAAATTGAGCCCTTTATCCACTCCTCAATTGAATAACCCTACTCCCTGAGGGCTTATGTCAAGAAGGTTTATGAAAGGCAGTTACCTGACTAAAAGAATTCATATTCAGATGAGAGCAAATAAACCCTCTTAGAGAATACGAGCATTTAAAAATAATAGAGCCTTAATTAGCTTGATGTCTGAGGGAGAGTCTGCACAGTCCTCTCTCCTCTCCCTCTCCCCCACTCCAGGGCCACCGGCATTGCATAATGCAGGCATCAGTCACTTTAAATTTTTCTCTGCCATAAAAACTTTGACAGAATCATAAAAGAATCAGTCTAAATTTCATAAATCAAGTCCTTCACTTTCCATGGGACTTACAGCGTTTCCACTTTACTGCACCCGTCTCCGCACACTCATCAAGAAAATTCACAGGTAGTTGTTGCTTCTGTTGTCGATGTGCTTTGCATGCCAATTGTGAGGACTCTCTTCCATTACTGAAGCACTTACCCACCTCCTGAACTATAAGGGAAGGTTTGTGAGACAGTTCTCTTCTTTTGGTATTTCATAATTGTGTAAGAGAAACCCATCTCCCCTTCCAACATGGAGTGCGTTGGGTTAAGACGTAAAATGGCGGACGACATGGATGGGGGGGGCGGGTGTCCGAAGATCACTGGAGGATAAATGTGTGCTGGGTTTTGCTTCCCGGTCTTGGGAAAGTCATTTAGTTGCTCTGGACCTCTTTAAAATGAGAGGGCTCCTCTCCTACACAGAGTACATGTTCAAACGAAAAGTAGACCTCAAGTATATTCTGCACCATATAGATTTTTTTAAAGTAGCTTCAGTCTCTCTTAATGTGAACAATTGCATATTGACTTAATCTCTTCCTCTCTCTCCCTCTCCCCCCCTCCCTCTTCTCTCCCTCTTTCTTTTTCTTCTCCTTTCCCCTCTATAAAAGCTACCACCTCATCCTGGGCACCCTGGTTATATCAACTTCAGCTATGAGGTAATTTTTCTCTTTACTAATTTTGACCATTGTTGGAGTTAACAATGCCCTGGGCTCTGCAAAGCATAGTGTGTTGATTCTTTATTCAAGATGTTCCTCAGTCCTGCTTTTTCAGTTCCCATTACCAGCTTCCTGGTTTAAGCCCTGATGGGTTGCCTCAAGGCTGCACTGCCCCAGCACACTCCTACTTGGCCTCTCTGACTCAGTTTCTCCTCCTTAGATGGCTATAAAGCTATCCATCATGAACTACCATTCAGGGTGGGGCTGCATGGTAGGGCAGAAAGTGAACTCTGGCTGAACAGCTTTGTTCTATTCCAGCCTGTGAAAGGTGAGGGAGTCGGGTAAGACGTTATTTAAGATCCTTTCCAGCTAGAAACTCCTGATTCTAAGATGTTCACACTCTACGTGTCTCCTTTGTTCGTCTTTAATGAAAGATCAGTGATCACTGACCAAGGGGTTTGTGAGACATTCTGCAGAGCAATGGAAAGCATGAGATTTCTGGAAATCAGGTTTGAGGCTCTCCTCAACCCCATACTAATCACGCAACCTTCGGCAAATCATTTTCTCTAAAACTTTGGTTTCCTCATCTGGAGAAGGGAAATAATTATAATACCCACACTTCAAAATATGGCTTGAGGAGCAAAATAGTTAAGCAATATAAAAGACGTTTTGTCAAGTACAATTTGAGCAAGGTTAGTAATTGTTTGTTGTATTCATATCAAATGCTGTACTACAACATGAAGGTGTCCCCAGAACTGAGGTTAACCAAGTATATACTGTTTAGGGAGGAATGAAACTCTTCCTTCTTTCAAAGGTTCAGATGACAATCTGCGAATCTGTTTACTCATACAAGCTGAGGAAAAGTGTGAATAACAATTTGAGGCAAGATTTTCCGTGAAACCTTAAAAGGCTGACATATTTGACCAGAAAACCTGTGTTTCTAGGCTGAGGGACAGATTTTCTGCCTTCTTTATTTTTCCATTGTGACGTCAACTCAAAAATGATATGACTAATGTTATATCACATTAATTTGTTTTGTTTTGCTCTTGCAAAGAGCAGGTGCTGTGGAATTCAACAGAATTACTACTTTTGTGAACTTGATCAAGCTCATGAACCTTTTTAACTCCCCATGAGCTAGTCTGTAAAAGTGAGGGTGAGGATACTTGCCTCACAGTACGTGAGAACACATGAAAAATGTGTGTCATGGATGTAATGTAGCGCCTAATGCTCAGGAAGCACCTGACAAATGTTTTACTTTATGCTTCCTTGCATAGAACTCATACTTTCAGGCTATCAATATTGACAGGACTGCATCAATGAGTCTGCATTTCATGCAACGAAATTAAAGCAAATGTATTCCAATGTTTCTTTTTCTTAAGGTGCTTACCCCCGTGAAGTGGTACCAGAACATGATAAGGCATCCGGTATGTAGAAATGTTTTTCTTTAGTCCCTTAAAATATTAAGCATGCATTTCAATTCCCTTTTAAATGAAATAACAGGGGCGCCTGGGTGGCTCAGTTGGTTAAGCGACTGCCTTCGGCTCAGGTCATGATCCTGGAGTCCCTGGATCGAGTCCCGCATCGGGCTCCCTGCTCTGCAGGGAGTCTGCTTCTCCCTCTGACCCTCCCCCCTCTCGTGCTCTCTGTCTCTCTCATTCTCTCTGTCTCAAATAAATAAATAAAATCTTTTTAAAAAAATGAAATAAAATAAATAAATGAAATAACATATCTATGCCACATACAGACACTAATGGAAAATCTGGTCTGTAAAAGGTCATATCTGTGTACACAGTCAGAAATTCTTGCACAGGAAAAACAATGAATAAACAGTCATAGTAACGATGACAACGAAAACATGACTACTTCTCTAGCTGGAAGTCAATGGAGCCAATGGTAAACCCGACCCTTTGTTTCTCACCAGTACCCTTCCTATGGTTACGAACCCATGGGTGGATGGCTACACCAAATCATTCCCGTGCTGTCCCAGCAGAATCCCCCGAACCACGCCCTGCAGCCTCATCACCACATCCCCATGGTGCCAGCTCAGCAGCCCGTGGTCCCCCAGCAACCAGTGATGCCAGTTCCTGGCCAACACTCCATGACTCCGACCCAACACCACCAGCCAAACCTCCCTCTGCCTGCCCAGCAGCCCTTCCAGCCCCAGCCCGTCCAGCCCGTCCAGCCCCAGCCACCTGTGCGCCCCATCCAGCCCCTGCCGCCACAGCCACCTCTGCCTCCGATGTTCCCCATCCAGCCCCTGCCCCCCATGCTTCCTGACCTGCCTCTGGAGGCTTGGCCCGCAACAGACAAGACCAAGCGGGAGGAAGTGGTGAGTATCCCTTGAAGCCAATATATCTGCCAGCTGGGAAAATGGTAAAGCAAAATGGCCCCCAGAGTTCCAAGTTCTCAAACAATCCAGGGTCTAGAGTTTCAGTAGCTACGCGGGTCAATGACTCTATTAGTCCAAGCATGTGTTGTAACTTTTTATTATAAATAAGTTTATCTGTGAAGCTTAGTAATTAAGACCATAGTTTCTATGGTGGGTTTAACTTCGGCGATTATTTTGAATTTCTGCCAGAATATGTATTACTGGAACCCATTAATTTTAAGGAGAGCAGTATAAGGGAATATCAGTTCTTATATTTCAAGGGTTTGACTAGCAAGAATAGGCTAGAATTGCACTGAAGATAAAAGGGTAATTTGGGGGGGGGGATGCAAATATTTGAACAGGCTACAAAAAGTAGGTGGGAAATCTCTTTGAAGACCTCTTTAATCTCTTTAAAGGAAGATTACCTGTCTAGGGTGGATTTTAATCTAAGTTGGAGGAAGCTAGACAGTTTATTAGATTCCTTTTCAGTGCTTGGTTCTACAGATTAAATTTCAGCAAGAAGTTTTCACACAACTAAGCACAAAATTAATTGCATTACAGAAAGTTCTTCCAAATGAGTGGGAAGTAGCCAATAAAATAAATGACTCATATCCATATCCATAAACCCTTATTCTGTGTATATGAGATTATGTAATTCTACTGCATATGTAATTCCAAGTTATAAATGCTATTGATGATTTTCTACTGAGAAGCAGTGAGAGGTGAGGCGGAAATGACCTGGATGGGGGGCTAGGATACCCACATTCCAGTTCTGGCTTTGCCTCCAAAGAGAAAATGGTATTGTACAAGTTACTTCAAATTTATGGGTGTTTTCTCTTTTTTAAAAGAAGAGAGAGCGACTACCTCCGATAATTTCCAGCCTCTGTCCAAGCGCAAATACCATAGTTTCCCAACAAAAAATTAGAGTGTATGCCATATATGGTTTCACAATGAGGAGCATATCTGTGGGGAATATGGGGCAGGACTTTTGAAATTGAATCCCAAATAATTTGGTGCCTCTTGTTGATTCTTCTAGTCTAAGGTACTGTTCCCTCTGTCTAGAACATGCATTTATTCATCACTTCATTAATGATTAAGGCCATGAACTTTATAATAATGTGCTCACATCTCGCCAGAGCTATTTCTGGAAAGGTGACTTTGGGCAGGTAGTAGTTTGAACTCTTTAAAACTCCTGTGTAAAATCAGAGCATCAATACTGGTAGCTTCTTAGAGTTGTTTTACAGAAAATAAAATCAAGTGATGAGCTCAGAGCCTGGCATGCAGGAAGTCCTCAGGAAAGGGCAGCTATTGTTATTTTATTATTATGTAAAAGTTGGAAGTGTCCTGAAGGCAGGGACGTCCATTCTGGATACTTCCTCTCCAATGACAAGGAGACAACCAAGAAACTTGGAAAATTACAGAGTTCATCTTACACGGTGGTACATCATTCTGGCAAAATGGAAGCCACATGCGTGATTGTAAATGATCCTCACTAGGAATATCTGTGAATTATTTTAATTCTTCCTTTTGTTACTATTTTTAAGGATTAAGACATCAGGAAATGAGAAGAGAACTGAAGTAAATACTTCAGGTGCTTTTCAGAATGACACAAGAACACGATGCATTTTGCCTGCCATCCCTTCACTTAGTAAATTCTGTAAAAATCAGTACCATTAGCAAACAATAAAATGTTTTAAAAATCATTCATGTCTTTGTGTTGCTTTAAGCTTAAAATTTCGTGTCACTTCAGAGAAGGTATTATTAATGGCTTTTCTTGGATAAGGTAGGAACGGCTCATTCACACCTACAAAACTGACCATTCTGCAGGCAAATGAGGACTAATTCTTCCTTTTAGAGAAAATGTATACGATCTCAAAACATTTTAAAAAACCAGAAGGTTATAAAGTAGTTATAATAGTAGATAAAGTGAAAAATTATGAACATGTACAGTCACTGAACCTAAATGAAATGAAGGGAAGTTTATGTGAAGAATTCTTTAAATTAGAAAAAAAAGCTCTTGAGAAATGTTTATATTACAAAACAAATTAAGACTTGGAACACAGGCTTTATAGCTCGCACCACATTAGTAACCAAAATCCAATCTTTTGATCTCATTCTACTGAAAAGGATTTTTAAACAAAATTATGTGATATGTAGAATAATGTACTGAATTTTACATTATTGGGGTAATCAATTTTCCTAAGAAAACTTTTATTAAATGGAGCTTCAAATAGAGAATCACAGTGATTTTGTACACAAGTCATTCCTTTCACTTAATAATTTTTAAGATGATAAACTGTACTGTCTAGTCTTCAAAATGTTAACAGATGCATAAAGTGGACTCAATACAAGTTTTCTTTCCCACTCATATTTATATTCGAATCCTTTTTTCCTCCTACACCCACACAGAACTGTAAACAATCTTTTTAGGGTTTACATTACACAGCACCCACAGTAACTTTATTCCAGTACCTTTATGATCAAGGCTCCTTAATCATTTTCTGGAATGAATAAACATAACTTTACTGGGAGGGTCTTGATATTTAAACAAATAACTTGATTTAAAAGGACTTAGATCCCATAAAAAAGTAAGCTTTTAATCAATTTGCATGAACCAATTCTAATCAATTTACTAAATATTTATTTATCACCCTTTAAGGTAAGGCACTATTCCATGCCCTGATTCAAACAGTAAGTTCCCATCCTTAAGAAATCTAGAACCTACCAAAGGGATAAAATAAGCTCACAAATACTGATAAGAGAAGGCCTAGCAGCATTAACACTATGACAGAAGTATAGTCAAACTGCCCCGGGAAATATGGCAGACTTGCTTAGTTAGCTGCGCAATAGCTTTCCTCACCGCTCGTTCCTTGTTGGCAGAGCTGGAATTGCTCCCAGCATCTGGCCTTCCACAAACTCAGGACAGATGAGCCCCTCCCCTGTCCCAGGGAATGAATGTTCACTCCTCCATGCCAATTATGGCATCAATTACCATAACATACCATATCCATACCAAATACGGCATCTATGCCCTTTGCTAAGTGACTGGTTGAGGGATGGGTTGGGATGGAACCTGAACAACGAATGAGGCCATAAGGAATGTTCACTAGGAGAAGAGGAGCTTCTGGGGGGAAAGATTATTTTCCAATTAAAAAAATACACACACATCTGGAAAACAGTATGGAGGTTCCTCAAGAAATTAAAAATAGAGCTACCCTATGACCCAGCAATTGCACTACTGGGTATTTACCCCAAAGATACAGACGTAGTGAAAAGAAGGGGCACCTGCACCCCAATGTTTATAGCAGCAATGTCCACAATAGCCAAACTGTGGAAGGAGCCCAGATGTCCATCGACAGATGAATGGATAAAGAAGATGTGGTTTATATACCCAGTGGAATACTACTCAGCCATCAGAAAATATGAACGCTTACCATTTATTACATCAACGTGGATGGAACTGGAGGGTATTATGCTGAGTGAAATAAGTCAGTCAGAAAAAGACAATTATCATATGGTTTCAGTCATACGTGGAATATAAGAAACAGAGCAGAGGATCATAGGGGAAAGGAGGGAAAACTGAATGGGAAGTCATCAGAGAGGGAGACAAATCATCAGAGACTCTTAACTACAGGAAACAAACTAAGGATTGCTGGAGGGGAGGTGGGTGGGTGGGGGATGGGGTAATTGGGTGACAGGTATTAAGGAGGGCACGTGATGTGTTGAGCATTGGGTGTTACATGCAATTGATGAATTACTGAACTCTACATCTGAAACTAATGATGTACTATATGTTGGCTAATTGACTTTAATTAAAGAAAAGAAAAATACACACACACACACACACTCATGCTAGGAAAGAGTGCTGTTCTGTCTTTGGATCTACCTATTTGAGGATATGAAGCCTGGAGCTGTGTCTACCATATTATGACCAGGAAGGACAAATGGAAAGATGTAAAGCCCCTAAGTCTTTGGTGGCATCATTGTGTCCCTGAATTAAGCAACCCTGGAACCATCTACCCCGAGATGGATAAAACACTCTATTTCCATACTCGTGTTTTTCAGTTGTGGGTCATGAATGATTAGTGGGTCATGACATCAACATCAGGAGCCCCAGCATTTCTATCATGCTGGCAAACCATCTCTTCCAATAGTGTAAAGCTTATTTGGCAAGAACTAAGAATTATTTTGTCAATGAATTCCCCCTCACACACAAAAAAAGCCAGTGAATAGATAGAGATATTATATCCTGGTGTATTCTCCAAAATATATGCCTCCCCACACACTGCCTTTCACAGTTCATGAAAATACTGCCATTATATTTATTTCTACTGAGAAACACTTTAAGGGTGTAAGGGATGATGTTACTTGGAGACTACGTGTGATATTGGAAAAAAAAAAACAAACTTTGGAGTCAGACTGGAGTTGCTTTCAATTTTTCTGATATAAGAGGATTCTCTATTTGGAAAAGTCATTGACACAATAATTCTCCTTTTATCGTAATTCAAATTATACACACACATACATATTCAAATCACATTTTGAATTACAGGGGAAAAGTCAGGTTTTGGACTCTAAAAACTATTCACTGTGGAATGAGAGGTACTGTATAAGTTGATTTTATGAGAAACAGAAACTTGTGTATTCAATGGTCAAACCTGTGTTTTAATATAATCATTTTCATGGTAGGCTACAATGGACATTTTTCTATCGCACTAAACAATGTATATTAACCACAACATAGCATCTCCTTGATGATCCAGAATGAGACTTACGAACACCCATCAGTGAGGTGTGTTGCCTTGGCATTTCAGAGATCACGAGGCTCTTATGCCTGTTTTAAGTTGTCCTCTTGTTGTAACTGTTCCTTCCCGCTTTTGGCCATCACTTCTTTTTGTTAATGTATATTTACATCTTGTAACATGTAGCTTATTTTGTACACATATTCTCCCTAACAAAATTACGTACATTGGCCTTGGGATTGTTACTTCAGAAGTTCCACAGTGGTTTTGAGGCTATTTTATTTCCTGACTCCCCAGCTGTGGCAGATGGCCACAACTGACAAAATTCTGACATGTAGATGTATGCGGCTGTCACCACATAGTATAACATGGCTGATGTAAATTGAATAAACAGAGCATTTCTAATTCATTAAAACTTAGGCATAGTCCGCTGCCCAACACTGCATTTGAGTAAAATATGGAAGAAAATCATTAGATACTAATGACCAAGCCTTAAAGCACAGGCTGAAATAAATAGTAGTACTGACCATAAATGCACTAATAAACCCAAACATACACCCAAAGAGTTCTTAAATCAGATTAAAAAAAGCAAAAGTAGATTATTTACGAAGCTGTACTATGTCTTTGAAATTCAGCTAAAGAGACAGATGAAGTTAAGGAAACCTGGTCAAGGAAACTCCTTTCTCACCATAACCACTCCCATGCCACTAATAAATTTGAAATCTGCTCTGCCCTCGTTCACTCTCTGTTGGTGAGGACTTCAGTATGCCTCATTTTGGGGAGGGGTGCAAATACACATCTAGGAATTACCCTAAGAGAGCCATCAAAATGCACAAAAAGATACATGCAAAGATGTTGGTCACAACATTATTTATACCATGAGAGATTTAAACTTTCTTACATCTAGCTGAAGGAGTAATGTGATAAAAAGTATGCTTTAGAAGAAAATTTATTAGTGGAGAAAATGTGATAAACTAAAACCTAAGACCCAAACCATCTATCATACGTGAATATTACACATGACCTTAACACGTAACTAATTTAGACACACACACATAAATGTGCATTGGCAAAAACTGGGAAGGAGATGCAGCTGTTTGTACAAAGATCCAATTTTCCCCACAATAAACATAAGTTGCTTCTGTAATCTAGAATCAAATTAAATTATTTATTTAAAAGTTTGTTCTCTCTTTCTTCTGCTTCAATCCAGACACAGCTCCTTCCTTCAGTTCCCTTTGATGTGAGTTTTGAATCTTGGTGGGTCCCCTTCAGGTAAATTCCAAGTAGAAACGACTTCACATGTACTTGATTTTTCAGAGAAACATTTTGACCAAAGAAGGGCTAAAGGAAAGGAACTACTGGCTTTAGCAAGAACAAAAATGAACAATACGCTCAAACAACAGAAAAGAGATGAGCATGATAGGATGAAGAAAGAAGAATTAGGAACAGCACAAATAAAATAAAATAGAGAAATGACCATCAAAGCAGTTCCTGCTGAAATCCTGCCAAAGATTAATGGGTTCAAAGAACAGGCAGGTGAGAGGTCAAACACAACATTTAAGACCTAAACCCTTAAAGAGCTGGGTGCTTGCAGTGACTTTTCACATTAAGTGACTTCTCCTTTGATTCAAATAATGCCTGAACTATTCTGACTTAGAACTCATCAATTATCTAATTTCACTTTTGGGCTTCAACTGGTTATAATGTGCTTTTTTCTCTCCTATGTTTAACGACATCAGGTCTGAATCATCTAAAGAGCTCAACCCTCAATCAATAATGACTCCAATTAACCAGAAAATGCTCACAGCTCACACATTAGAAAGGGCAAAGGAAAATGCAACCTAACAAACTTAGTTTTCAGGCTGGATTTCCAGAACCACCTACCTTGATAGCATGCAACCACCTATCTTGATGGCATGCACTGAAGACAGAGGTTCAAAGATTACCCGGAAGTAATCTTCACTTTGACAAGAGACAGTGAATAGTTGCAGCATTTTCCAAAAATTCAGATATGTAGGATGATAATATGATAGAATACTTGAAATCAGAGACATCTACTAACTGGTAATTACACTCTATACTTGCACTGTTCAGTAGGTATCCCCACGTGGCTATTCGAATTTGAAAGAAGTAAAATTAAATAAAATGGAAACTTCAGTTCCTCAGTCACACGAGACACGTTTTAAGTGCTAAAAGGCCCCGTGAGACTAGTGGCTACCATATTGCACAGAGCGGACACAGAACCTTTCCATCACCGCCAAGAGTTTTATTACACAGTACTGCTCTATACACTACTTCCTGAGGTAGAAGAGCAAGTCCTGTTAATTCAAAGATTTTAAACAAAAGATGAAACAAAACAGACTTGCTTGGTTAAAACTGAACATCTCAACTATCCATAACAAGTCATTTCCCAAGCATTCCAGGAGTCCTGATCTTGTATGGAAATTTTCTAAGAACTGTGAAAGTGCCCTTTTCTTCCTCAGGTCAAATCACACACACACACACCAAAATGGTTTTCCCTCCAGTTTTCTTTTAAAACAGATGAATTCGGAGTTCAACTACATTATTTTTTTCTCCTCATCAGAAAAACTATTTTAGTTCCAAAGGAATAGCCATTCATTTTCAGACCTCTACCAGCCACATCCACGCTGGAGGTAGAAGGCTGGGGCTGCCCTTGACCTAGGGCTTCACTGGGAACAGACCAAAGTTTAAGCTGATGGAAAGATAAAAGTAAGAAAAAAACACAAACTTTTGTCCATCCCTAAGGGTGGATGACTGCCTGGAAACATCAGAAACTATTTACATTCTTTTCTCTTTTGTGGTTCAAAGCAACAGTGCAACATAGGACGAATGGGTGCACGCACACGCACGCACACAAACACATGCGTACACACACACAAGCACGTGCGTGCACACTGCCCACTGAGTTTTCCTGTAGTAAAAGGACACATGTGGAGACACAGACTATTTGAGAAACTTGCAATGTTAAAGACAGCTTCTTTCCATTCTAATCATTTAGAGACTGTATGGCTATTGTATCAATCATCATCATGGCACACTACACCTCTTGCAAGATAAGATTCTATCAAGAAAAAAAGGTCAAGTTGCTTATCTTATTTATATGCAATGTCAAGTTGACCACCTCCTCTCCCCACTCCACATAAAATGAAAACACTGCCTTTTCCCATAAATCTGAGCATTGCCTCTTATTAGTAAACAACTGCTGAAAATACCAAGCTTGAGTTTAAGGCCAAGACTTTAAAAAGAATATAAAATAGCCAACAACTGTATTAATTAGGAAAAAAACCGAAAGAGATCCGACTGTGAACAGCTTAATATGGGAATCACAAGAGAAAAATAATTTCAACCAATTTCCCACATTTCCAGAACATAGTGATCTCTAGTCATGTTCCATATTGCTTTAATAAAACAGTCATCAGCCTATGTTTGTTGTGAAATTCTTGTTAATTGGACTTTTTACTTATTGTTTGGTGATTTGGCTTATAATTCCTTTTGCCCTCACTGGTCTAGAGCCTTATCAGCAGGGATCACTGGCTGACATTTAGTTATCCAAAAACACTTCCCTGCTGGGAAGAATTCATCTTGGCCTCATCTGAAACACCTGACTCTTCTAGAAGATAAATAACACTTGAGGAATAAAATCGGGCTGGGAGTGGTGGGGAGGAGGGAAGAGGTTGAGGAGAGAAGAGAGGAATGATCATTTGGGTCCCAAAACATTCGCCTTGATAAACTGCACCTGAATAATCTACCAAAAAAACCCCCAAGATCAATAAAGTCCCCTTACGAATAACATTGCCCCACGGTCAACAAAAAATAGCCCAGGGTCCAGCATTTACTTTCTTTTTATAAACAATTAAAAAAATGTTAAACAGTGTTAACTCTCTTCCTCAAATCAACCAAATCTTGTCTTCCTCTCCCCCAAATTTCCCATGCTTCGAATCTGTGGAATGGGGGGGCTCTGGGGTCTGTTAAGTATACACACAGGTTAATGCAGGCTCCGTAACCAGACCGTCTGACTTCACGATCACGACCTTTGCCGATCTCCTGTGCAAATTGGGACAAGTTTTTTAGTCTCCATGTGCCTCAGTTTCCTCATCTATAAAAGGTACTATCTATCTCTGTGTCCTTTCATGTCAACGAGCCCCAAGCTCAATAAATGCTGGCTAGCGTCCTTACATTCAGAACGGAAGCCTTCTCCAGGCTCTCTAGGCACCCCCAAAGGGAACACTACACAGCTGGAATCGGGAATGTTGTAAAATTTGGACCTAACATGGAAGTTTTCTATGCCAAAGGCTCCAAACACATCTGTCATTTACCAATGTGCCTTCTCTGACGTACAACCACCGGAACGCCTTCCTTACTGATTGCTACCCTACGTGATCACTGCCTTCTATCTGACATCCCCAGAGGCTGCTTTTGTCACCCTGAGGGTAATAGGAGACTAAATCCACCAGGAGGGTATCATGGGCTGCACAGGGCTCATTAAAGGCTAGAGTGTTAGACCTCCTCCCTCTGAATGTCTTCTTCTGACCTTCTTTGTAAGGCCTGGCTGCCATGTATAGTGGTTTCCCACACCAACCCTTCCCTTGTTGTTCTGGCTTTGGTCACAGTTCCGCTAATTCCACTTTAGGGATTCTTTACCAAACTTTTTTCTAGAGCAGTGGTTCTCAACCAGGGCAGCTGTGCCCCCTAGAGGACATTTGGCAACATCCGGAGTCACAATGAAGGGGCGGCAAAGAGGGTGGAGGTGCTATATAGTATATAGTGGTATATATGGTATATAGTGGGCGGAGACCAGAGATGCTGCTAATCATCCCACGATGCACAGGACAGGCCCCACAACAACGAATGATCCAGCCTTGAATGTTGACACCGCGGCAGTTGGGAACACTGCTCTAGAAAACGAGGCCAATATTGAATCATGCTGTGTGTTCAGAACTTAACATACAGAAACAGTGAACAAATGTAGAAGTCTGTGTGCATTTTTAAAACGTAACTGAGAAAGCAAAACCAGGAGTTCAAGTCTTAACATTGGTAAAGCTGATGTAGGACTTCATACAGGAGGTTTTTCACTTCCTGCACCAATTGTATCAGCAAAATCGAAACAGCTTGGAGAGTGACCAGGACCTTGAAGAAAATTTGCAAGACAAAGAGACAGCTGCACCAGGATTAAAGGAGCTGGTGTCTGTAAGTCACAAGCATTCTGCAGAAATTAGAATGGCTTTTGGTTTCTTCAGAAATTACTTAGGGACGCCTGGGTGGCTCAGGTTAAGCAGCTGCCTTCAGCTCAGGTCATGATCTCAGGATCCTGGGATCGAGCCCCGTGTCAGGCTCCCCGCTCACAGGGGAATCTGCTTCTCCCTCTTCCCCTCCCGCCTCGTTCTCTCTCTCCCCCCCCACTGTCAAATAAATAAATAAAATCTTTAAAATAAAACTTACTTAAAAGTAAGTTCATTGTTTCTTGGGAGGTTACTTACAAGTTGTTATCTCAGTAATAAAGAGGAGAAAAATAACCAGACCATTAGCCATTGGTATAACGACGGAATTAGAACTCATTTAGTTTGTCTGGGAAGAGTCCTGTTTTGGGATTTGCTTGAACTTGGCAGAAGAACGAGAAATAAGTGGGCGGAGATTTAAGATGCCGTAATGCTCGCGATTTTCAGAACCATCACTCTGCATAAGTATTCTTTGATAAATATGATACAGTTTTTGTTACAAAATTATTACCAAAAAACCTCTGATAGCCATGGAGAATATAAACAGTGTGCTCTACATACAGGAGACCCACTTTGCTGAAGTGAAGACCTTGGGCAACCTACAATATTTGACGGACTCAGGACACGAGACATCCTATCTGTCCAAATACCAAACTCAAGACACGCAGCTCTATGTGACATGGACTCCTCCATATGCCACACAGCAGGAGAACGGCCATAAATGAGCATCAGGTCAATGCCTGCTCGTTTAGGGACCTTCTTTTACTGGTCCACATGGACTGGAGTGCTCAGGCCTCGAGCTTTCCCAGGATATGTTGGGCATGCTTCTATTTCAAGCAACCACTTGTTTCTACTTTGGTCTCCCCACTAGCCCGCAACTTCCTTGAGGAGATTTAGAAAAATATGTAGAAACTGGTCAGTGTGCTTAATATCTGCTCAAGGAACCCTCAGTAGCATTAAAAAGCCACCATACTGTAATATAAAACTAATGATAGTAGTAACATCGAACATTTACTGGGCTCTTAGTATATTCTTGGACTTGTTCTAAGCACATGACATATATTCGCTCACTTAATTCTCACAACCTTTAGAGGAAACGTTGTCTCTATCCCCAATTTACAGATGAGGAGTCATCTAAACCTTAAACTTTAAAAAGAAATGCACTCCTTAACACACACACACACACTGTCCCATTTTTGATGAGTGCGATTTGGAAAGCAAACTAATCTGTCATCTGCCTCTGGGATGCTAACTAAAACAACCTCTATTTCTACACAGTACATATGAACCCAGCTCGAAAGGAGTCATTTAAACTTGTCTCCTTTGTCACTTAATTTCTCCCGTCCATTTGACCTCCTGAGGACGCACTGGGGAGCTAATGGTAAAGAAAGCTAAAGAGGCCCCAGTCCAGTAACTTCTGTGCCACTGTGGTCAACCCCCACAGAAGGGGAAGAAATCTCTGTCAATATGGGCAAGTCTCAGCACACCAGGGTAGCACTGCCCCGGAAACAGGAGACGTCCATCCATCCCAGCGGCAGGTGCGCACCTGAACACCAACGGCCCTCACTCCTTCCTTGGTTCCCAAGGTTGGACTGGAAGCCAACCAAGTCCAGTCCTCGCAGGAACCGCAAGGTGCTTTCTCCCTGATGCGTTCAGAGAAAGCTACAGCGGGAACTGACGATATCTTGCTCGAAAAGGCTGGCCCCGGCCTTCCATTACCCTCCTTCCCCAGTAGCCCACGGAACGCACAGTGGGCACCTGCAGGGAGCCCGTTGCAAGTGACATTCGGAAGCCGGCCCAAAGTGGCCACTATAGGAGGGCTGCTGCCCTATCTCTCGCAGGACACTGGCTCAGAACCGATGGGCTGGCATACTCTCTCCACCTGGCCCTTGATGTCCAGATTAAAATATACGGAAAGCTTCCACGGATGTTAGCAATGGAGGTGGCCGTGGGAACAGGCGGCTGCCGCAGGGGCACCGCTGGAGGAGGAGATGCTGGCGACTGCGCACAGCCGCGGGCAAGAACAAACGCAGGCTCGGAGCCGTGCCAAAGCCCCATCTGCACCCTGGATGTGGAACTTGGGCTCAACCTGGTTTCCACAAGTGATTTTTTTCTTAATCTCAAGCTAGGCACAACAGAGCAACGTCCAAATCTTTTTCTTTTTAAAGACACTGGTGAGGCGCGCCTGGGTGGCTCAGTCGGTTAGGCGAGTGCCTTCGGCTCAGGTCATGATCCCGGGGTCCTGGGATCGAGCCCCGAATCGGGCTCCCGCTCAGCGGGGAGTCTGCTTCTCCCTCTGCCCCTCCTCCCGCTCGGGCACACACTCTCTCTCTCTCAAATAAATACATAAAACCCTTTAAAAATAAAAATAAAAATAAAAAAATAAAGACAGTGGTGGATTTTGAAAGCACTTACTGAACACTGCTTAAATGTGCAGTTGCTATCAGTGGGATTTACAAAGACAGTTGGAGAACAGGGAGATTTAGTGCCCTGGTGGCTCATTTTCCCACAAAGAGAACACAAAGGTTCCCGAGGAACAGTGATAGGTACCCAGGAACCTGCAATCACTGCAAACTGAGCTGATTTATTTTCTAGTTGCTATTACTGGAAATAATCAGAACCACAATATTCTTGGCCCTCCTTCAAAATGGAATCATTCGACACACTGTAAATGACGGTGATCTAGAGCAGTAATTTTTCTCCAAAAGCAACCTGGTTTTTAACAAATTAAATAACTAATATAAGTTTACATTACTTTATACATAGAGTGGCATGTGCACATAGTCTAAGGTAATACATTGGCAATCTGTGGCAAGGTGTTTTTTTTTTTTAAACACACCAAATAAAGCAACGTTTAATGTCTGTTCCTTTAGGAAGGATTCAAAGAAACTTCTACTTGGAGCTATCCGAAACCAGCAAGTACCTAAGCTCTGTAAACACTTTGGTAATATTCTAAGCTAATAATAAGAAAAGATGGATTTTGAGGTTCTTTCTCTGAAATCATGAAAAATTGGAAGCATTAAGAAAAAAAATAAAAAGACTTGTACCAGACGCTGCAGGCAGCAAAACCAAGGTTTTCCGATTTTCTGAAAACATCATCTGTCTTTGCTGCACGGAGTGGCCACAAGGGAAGAGGCCGACCACATTTTGTGGTTTCACATCAGTACGCATATTGCTTGCCAATGTCATCGAACCCTGCTCCTTTATCATAGTGAGGGGAAGGACAACATTCGCCCTCGTCCCAAATGTCCGTCACTATACAGTATCCAATAAACCAGACCCAGAAAGAGGCTACAAAGCAATGCTGTTTAGTCTCATTTCTGTCACAGACTAGCCAGCTGACCCTGCCACACACAACCTGATCCACGCTCACCCTCAGTTTCCTTCCCTGTCACAGAAAAACACCGCACTAGGAGGCCACCAAGACCTATGCAATGACAGCATACGTCAGTATGCATCGACTTCAAAGTCCTGAAAAAATAGCCCAAAGGAAAGGTGCAGAAGAAATGACGGGTCCTTACTGAGATTTGCTCTAAGCTTGCAATAAAAACATGAGTGTCTTGGCAATGATACGTAACATTCCAGTCACCCTGGCTCAAAGGCCCTGAACCTTCTCCTAAAGCAACAGGCAGAGGCACTGAAAGTGTCATTTGAACCATCTGAACTTTGAACTTGAAAGAGACTCAAGTGCTGGAGCAAGCTGAGCGAATCCCTCCAAAGCTCGCTCTCTCACTCTTGCTTGTGTCCACCTGCCCCCACCACTGCTCCAGGATCATGAGCCCCACGAAGTCTTTCACGTCTGCCTCGCCTGAAGCAGGAGGTACAAGGCACAGAGCCTGAAATGCACGTACTGTGTCTTCTTACCTCTCCAGGGTCCTTACACCTTAGCAGCAGGAGCAGCTCCAAGCAGAACTGACCCCCCATCCTCTCCGAACAGAGCCCCCGGCCAGGGTGGGAACGGAGAAGGAGGCTGGAGACAGGGAGCCTGCTGAAAGAGCCAGAGGAGTCAGGCAGGCAGGCTCCCTGGCTGGAATGCGCAGCTAGAGGCCCTGGGAGGGAGAAGGCCTGGGGTCACTGCGATCCTCTGACTCAGACACCCTGGGGAGCTGTCAGCTCCGAAAGGCCTCCTTCAGCACACAAGGCGGAGAGGCACCAAGCACTTACAGGGGGTTAGAATCTGAAAGTTAGGAAGTGGAGGTAAATGGTTACATAGAGCGATGTCAGTTTACAGTAAGTGGTAGAGATACAACAGGCATGTTGGAGGCAACAACTCATTTAAATGAAGTGCAAATTCACAAACGTGATAGGGGACTTGTATCCAGATACCTAAAGGACTCTTACAATTCAATAATAAAAAGACAACCTGATTTAAAAGTGGGCAAAGGCTCTGAATGGACATTTCTCGGATGATCATCTACAAATGGCCAATAAGCATATGAAAAGATTCCTGAGGAGGTGCCTGGGTGGCTCAGTCGGTTGGGCATCCGACTCTTGATTTTGGCTGGGGTCATGTTCTCAGGGTTGTGAGATCCGGCCTGGTGTCCAGCTCCACACTGGGCATGGAGCCTGCTGGGGATACTCTCTCCCTCTCCCACTGCCCCTCTCCCTGCTCTCTCTCTCTAAAAAAAAGAAAATTCTTGACATCATCAGCCACCAGGGAAACCAGGGAAATGCAAATCAAAACCACAACAAGATAGCTATTCACACTCACTAGGATAGGTCAAAGAAATGTTGGCAAGGACATAGAGAAATTAGAACTCTTCTACCTTGCTGGTGAGAATGTAAAATGCTTTGGAAAACAGTTTGGCGGTTTCTCAAAATATTTTAACCAGAAGTTACCATATGCTCCAGCAATTCCACGGCTACCTGGATCCCCAAGAGAAATGAAGATAGATGTTCACACAAAACTTGGATACAAACATGTTCACAGCAGCATTATTCATGATAGCCAAAGGTGGAAGTAACCCAAATGTCCATCAATTGATGAATGGCTAAACAAAATGTGGCGAATCCACACAATGGAATACTATTCAGCCATAAAAAGGAATGAAGTCCCGGTACATGTTACAACATGGCTGACCCTTGAAAACAGTATGCTAAAGGAAAGAAAGCAGTCACAAAAGGCCACATATTGTATGATTCCATGAACAGGCAAATCCATAGAGTGGCAAAAGATGAGTGGTTGCCAAGAGTTGTGGGGGGTGGGAAGATCACCGGTGGTAATGACTAAGGGGTGCAGGGTTTCTTTCTGGGGTGATGAAACTGTTCTAAAATTGATTGTGGTGATGGTCGTACAACTCTATGACTATACTATTAAGTTATACACTTCAAGTGACTGAATTAAATGGCATGTGAATTATATCTCAACAAAACCGTTACATTAAAAATGAAACACTAGCTCTCATTCCCCAGTTACACTGGGCTCTTCTGAGGCCACCATTACTCCTACCGATTCACCAGCGTGGCTTGGCAGGGGTCATGGGGAGAGAGGGCTTCCAGCAAGCAGGGAGTGACAAATGCTGGCCCCCGGCACATCGGGACCCTTCTCCTCAACTTCATTTCTAGGCCAGTGATGACAAGAATCCTGCTCCAGCTTTGTGGTTTAGCCTCGCTCCTCCCTGACACCTTCACTCCCGAGTGGTGACTCCCTTTCCAGCACGCCCGTGGTCCCCATTTGTGAGAGTCCTTTTGAACTTACAGCACAGAGCGAACACAGGCAGGGTCT